TATGTGGGATCCGAACCCTTGGTGGGAGCGCCGCTGCGCTCCCAAGCGGCGCACTGTAGCATGCGCCACCGGGCCGGCCCCATAACACAAGACACTTCTGAAGCCTTTGAGAAGCTTGTATCAGAATGAGGGTAAGAGGCTGGGCAGATAGAAATCCAGAGGGATAAGAATTAGAAGCTTTCCTTTTCCTTTCCTAAATAGTCTTAATCTCAGCCAGCACACAGAAAAGCCATTAACCCTGCATATGGGAATGAAGCATCAATCCGCCCAGCCCAGAATTACCGGAATTTAGGTTTGGAGGCAATGGTAGTATTAGAGCCTTAAGTATATGACAGAATGACACCTGTCTCCCATGCCCACATCTTTCTAATTCCAGAGGGACAGTCAGAACCAGTGGCCTTATGTTCTCTAACAAGTGGGCCTTCTGAGCTCCTTCTTATGTGAAGGACTTCACTGTCACTGCCTGATCCTGAAGATCTTCACCATCTGAGTATTTACATGGGTGGAGCAGAGTAGTAATCTCAGGTTGAATTTTTAAGGGCATGTCAGGGGCTCTTAGGTCTATCACTCCGCAGGAACACTATCCCACACTCTTCACCAAGCCAATGATTCTGGACTATATGCCCAGTTCTTTAGTAAAGAGGATTCTACAACATTGAAAGGGGGAAAAAGAAAGCTAAATTATTTTGTGGACACACCCAAGAAAAAGAACTTTCAGATTTTTAATTTTAAAAGCAAACAATACCTTATGGCCACTTGCATATATTCTGGTTTGTCTCTTGCTCAGTTTCTTCCTTGCCACCATGAAGCATCTCCCAGTCCTCTCTCCCATAAGAGAAGGTTCTCTAGCTTGACCCCTTCCTCCATTTGCAATTCGATAGATAACTTTGTATGCTTTAACTGAATCTTTATTTATGTTCTTATCTGCACAGTTCTCACAGGATCTGGAGTGGAAAGTGAGTTCTAACCCAGGAGTGAAAGTGAAATAAACCTTTATACTCCAACAACAAAATTAGCAAAAAAAGAAATTAAGAAGGAGAGCCCATTTACGAGTCACCAAAAACAAACAAACAAACAAACAAACAAACAAACAAACAAAACAGGTAGAATCACACAGCACTTGTCTTTTTATGCCTGAATTATTTCACCTAGAATATTGTTCTCAAGTTTCATCCATGTTGTAGCATGTGTCGGAATTTCCTTTCTTATCGAGACTTAATAATATCTCATTGTATGTATATAACACACATCACATTTTGTTTATTCATTTATCCATCAATGGACACTTGGATTCCACCTTTGGCTATTTGAAAGATGCTGCTATGAACATAATTGTGCAGATATCCGTCCGAGTTCCTACTTCTAGTTCTTTTACTTATATATCAACATATTCTCTTTGAAAATCTCTGAAAAATTTTACAGCAAATCGAGCTATTTATTTTAATATCCCATGTACTTTCTTAGTGTTGAGTTAGGTTTGCTTTTAAGTGTATGTTAATATTCATATTATTTATATAAAACTTATTTTATGCTTAAATGAAATGCAAAATTAGTCTGGTTTACTTGTTCATCAATAAATCTATTCTAACATGCATATCCTAAGTAATCATATCATCTGACTAAGGAAAGACGTGGACCTCTTAAACTATTAAACAGGACCATATTTGCATTTGACTTGGGTATTAAATATTCTCACAGACAACATTTATTTAAAGTAAATTTTTGAAATAAATAAGTAAATAGCTGTATATAGATAATGTGGTAAATGGGGCAACATATCCATGAAATACTATAGTAGTTACTTTTTAGAAGCAAAATTCTGAGTAATGAAAATAACTTAAGAAAATGGTGTAGATTGTAGAAGGTCAAGAGAAGAAGAGTATGACATATTACGAGAGTATTGATGTAGTCCTGGAGAAAAATTATAGAAGTTTGGACTAAGAAAATAGTAGTGAAGATTGAAACTCATGAACATATTTGTATTAAGATGTAGAGTCTGTTTAGGACCTGAAAATTTTGAAAAGTCTACTAGTTGTAAAATGTAATTTGTGGTAATGTGCGTGCTGCCAGTATGAATCTGGCCTTCACATCTTGGGCACATGGGGTGACAATCAGCTTTGTATCTCATGAATATTCATAACCAATAAAAAATCAGAGTACTAGGAATTTGAATAGCTAAGTCTGCAATTTAGTAGTGATGTCAAAGATGAAAGTTCTAACTTTGGAATAATTGCTTTAGGGATAGCACTTAAAGCCACGAAACTAAATGAAATCACCAGAGAGAGAGTATATTTGAGAAGAGATAGGGACCAGAACAGAACATTGAGTCACTTCAACATTTAGATACCAAAGAATAGACGAGCGAGCAAGGAAGGCAGAGAAGACCAAGCAGGCAGGAAAATTAGAAGTAGCGGGATGGATACTAACAGAAGAAAGGTTTTCAAGAAGGTGGATGTGATCGCCAATAATAATTTCAACAAGGAGTCAAAGATTGTTAAAGTGATCTAAAGAAATAGATTATTGTTAATTCAGGTACAAATAATCTGCTTGGAGTGTGTTGAGAAAGCCATAATATGTGAGCATTTGGTAATAGAGATTCTGAAAAAATATTAAGTGGTTTTATTGCAAAGAGTTACTCAGAAATAAAATGGTAGCTGAGGGGGAGATGGGTTAATATGCTTTTAGGATTTTGTTTTTAAACTTTTTAAATATTTGATAAAACATTTTTATTTGGTAATGAGAAACATCCAGGAGAGTACAAGTAATTGATGCTCAGGAGACATCTGGCCATTGCTGAAAGAATTGGGGTTCAAAGCAAAAGAGGTTTGGACCTTTGATACAAGCAAGGATCTTGAGTACAGATGCAGGAAGACTGATAGATTTGGTAGTAAGGGGAAATTACTATACTACTAAAATTATATATTACTATAAGGGAAAATTGCTTCTATTTTTTTCAAGAGGAGTAGGAGGCAAGATCAGAAGGAGAAAGGACTGGTAAAATGGGGCAAAAAAAAAAAAATGAGTTGAAAGGATAGGAGGCACTTCA